TTTGCCAGAAGAAGCAACCATGTGATTAGAGGGTTGCAATTTTCAGCCGGACTCCCATCCCTAACCTCTTGGGAGGAGAGGCTAGGCATTGAGTTAATCACAAATGGCCAGTGATTTAGTCAATCATACCTACATAGTGGAACCTCAATACAATACCTAAATGAAAGGGTCAGGACAGCTTCTGGGTTGGTGAACACATCTGTGTGCCAGGAGGGTAGTGCATCCCAGATTCCTTAGGAACAGAAACTCCTGTGCTTGGGATCCTTGTGGAACCTTGCCCTATGTACCTCTTCATCTGGCTATTCAATTGTGTCCTTTATAATAGCCTTTATAATAAAATGATAATAGTAAGTAAAATGCTTTCCTGAGTTCTGTGATCCATTATAGCAAATTCTCAAAACTGAGGAGGGGGTCATGGGAACTTCTGACTTGTAGTCTAGCCAGACAGAAGTGTGGGTAACCTGAGCACCCACTACTTTCAGCTGGCGTCTGAAGTGGGGCAGTCTTGTGGGACTGAGCCCTTAACTTTTGGGGTCTTCGCCAATGCCAGGTAGTGTCAGAATTGAATTAATTGCAGGACACCCTGTTGGTGTCTGTATGGAATTAGAGAATTACTTAGTGTGGAGAATCCATACATTTAGTGTCAGAAGTGTTGTGAGTAGAAAATGGTGCCAGTAGTTACAACAGTACAGCCAACAGTGTCGGCTACAGCAGCTGTATGATTTGAGGAAAGTTATTTAACATCTCTGATTCTCGATTTTCTTGAGACAATAAGAATAATGCTATTTTTCTCGTGTGAGGATTAAATGATATAATAACTGAAGCGAGAAAACATACATAAAACCACCCAGGACAGGCCATGGCATGTAGTATTGCCTGGTTCAGTCGTTCTGCAGTTGTGGAACCTGGACCAACAGCATCAACATCAGCATCGCCTGGTTCCCTGCTTCTCCTCCATTCATATGTTGAAGCCCTAACTTCAGGTACTTCAGAATGTGATTGTACTTGGAGATAGGTTTTATAAGAGGTAATAAAATAAGGCCGATAGCATGAGCCCTAATCCATTATGACTGGTGTCCCTGGAGGAAGAAATTAGTACCCAGACACACACAGAAGGATGACCATGTGCAGATACAGGGAGAAGACAGCCATCTATAAACCAAGGAGAGAGGCCTCAAAAGAAACCAACTCCGCCTATACCTTGATCTCAGACTTTAAGGTTCCAGAACCGTGAGAAAATAAATTTCTGTAACTTAAGCCACCCAGTCTGTTGTACTTTGTTATGGCAGCTCTAGCAAACTAACATTATCAGGGAACTTTTTAGAAATATAACGTCTCTATAAATAAAATCTTTAAAAAAAAAAGGGCGCCTGGGTGGCTCAGTTGGTTAAGCGACTGCCTTCAGCTCAGGTCATGATCCTGGAGTCCCTGGATCGAGTCCCGCATCGGGCTCCCTGCTCGGCGGGGAGCCTGCTTCTCCCTCTGACCCTCCCCCCTCTCATGTGCTCTCTGTCTCTCTCATTCTCTCTGTCTCAAATAAATAAATAAAATCTTAAAAAAAAAAAAAAAGAAATATAACGTCTCTGGCCCCACCCCAGACATACTGAATCAGAAACTGTGAGGGTGGAGCTCAGCGTCCTGTGTTTTTAAAAGTCCTTTAGGGGCACCTGGTTGGCTCAGTTGGTGGAGCATGGGACTCTTGATCTCAGGGTTGTGAATTCAAGCCCTGCGTTGGGTGTGGAGCCTACTTTAAAAAAAAAAAAAGCCCTTTACATTACTTGGATTTAACACTTAAGTTTAAGAAAGGCTGGCCTAGTTGTTAAAGGATGGAGGAACTTGACTAGCTTGGGTTCATATCCCAACTCTACCACTTAGCAGCTGTGTGATTTTGGGTACTTTTACAAATGTCTTTGTGTTCCAATCTCCTCATCTGTAAAGTGAGGATAATCCTAGTCCTTACCTGTTAGGTTGCACTGGTGATAAATGAGTTGATCCATATGGAATTTAGAACAGTGCTTGGTGCATAGTTAATGCTCAACAAGTGTGAACTATGACTGTAGAAGATAACATGTAAATGTTGAGTCTGAATCTCATTTTAAATGGTTGGGTTTGGAAAAAGAGATAGTAGCTGAGTTTATTGAAAGTATTTGTAGAGTGAGGTCCTGGAGACTCTCTTAAATAAAGTTGAATACTCCAGCCCCTACTTGGGCTGCTTAAAACCCTTTTTTTCTTACTTCCTCGTTTATGATTGTGATGTGGAAGATGCAGACGGTGCCAAGTTCTTTGTAGTTTATGCAAATAATACACAGCACACATTGTTATGTTGCTCTTCATTTTCTACGAAGGCCCCATTTTATATCCTGTTCCCATGAGAACTTTACCTTTTTCTTCTCTGCATTCCATTCTCGATGGATTATCTAGTTTCTCATCTAGACAACTTACCCTCTTTTCCCGATGGCCCATTTAGAACCACCTCCTATTAAAAAATAAGTTTTCCATCGAGGCATATGTATACTCATTTCCCTCGTTTTTTATTTGCCTTCTTTCCGAAGTGATTCCAGTTGTTTTACAGTGTGCAGCTGCTACTGGATACTAATGCCATTTTCACTGGGGGAGTTGCATTTTCCAGCCTTGTTTGTGTATATTTGATTGTCTTCAGTACTTTATGTGAGCTGTAAACACACTGGGTAGAAACAACTCAGTAAATGACAAACAGTAAAATGAATAATAAAAAGTCATAGTCTCATCTAAGGAGAATGAGTGGGGTCCCTCTCCCATATAGAAGTAAGCCAGGGATATCAATATGTTTAGAAAACTACTGGCTAGCTGCTACTCTAAAATATTCTTTAAGTCACAAACTTGTTTTCCCCTGCAGTATGCAATTCACTTTCCCCTCTACTTAGCTTCTTAATCACTCCAGGAACCATAACCATTCATTCATCATCCAGGCCCCAAACCTTGATGTCCTTTCTTACTGCTTTCTTTTCTCCCCAGCATTGAAATATCTACCAAAATCTTTCTGTTACTGTATTTCTAACATTATCCATTTCTAACTTATCTCAGAGACCAGACTTTCTACAATCATGAGGCACTGGACAGTCAGGGTAAATAATAATTCATTTGGTTAGATTATCTCCAATCTTATTTTACAATTCCATGCCTTACTATAGCCATGTCCAGAAGTTCTATACTTTTAGACCCCCTCCCCCAATAAATTGAAATGTAAAATACAAAGTAAGTGTAAAGTACACCACACTTTTAAAAGAACTGTATATGAGCCAGGAGGTGGGGAAAAATAAAAATTTCAGTAATGGCAATTATAGGACTCTTGTGGACCTCTTGTCTGACTTTTCCTATTTATTATTCAGATGCTCTTTGTTGTCTTCCACTTTGTTCACTTCAACATACTACCTTTCAGTTTTTCACTATAAGCTCACCTATGTCTCTATTCAGGGAGCATGTGGTTTTACCATCTACCATTTCTTTAAGGAAGAGCTTTTACTTTAAAAATGCTCTTTATTGAAAATTATTTTCTCCAACCTATGTCCTTTATTCTCATTTATGCTTCCGAATATGACTTTAAGCCAAAGGAACTGTTTTCTATATTCTGAAGAATGACCCTATGTAAGTCATATATAAACAAGTTATGCTAAATTAAAACATTTAATTCCATTTACTTCTTCATTTTAGTAGGTAAGTTGGTGATCCAAGCTCAGACCGGCTTCCTCATTGAGTCACTCAATCCAAACACTGTTAAGAAAATCTAGTTTCTGACTATTCCCTGGGTTGTGGTAGATCATGTTTCTAAAGATAGCTGCAACAATATCTCCCATCCCATATGTTCTTTTGCAATGTGCTAGCTATTCCCTGATCAAGAAGTAGAGTTTATAGTCACTCCCTTTGTTTTTTTGTTTGTTTGTTTTTTAAAGTAGGCTCTACGCCCAGTGTGGAGCTCAGTGCGGGGTTTGAACTCATGACTCTGAGATCAAGACCTGAACTGAGATCAAGAGTCAGACACTTAACTGACAGAGCCAACCAGGTGCTCCTATTGTCACTCCCTTTGAATCTAGACTGGTCAATGACCTATTTTGACCAATAGGATGCATCACAAATGATGCTGTCTAAACTCCAAGCCTGGGCCTTAAGAAATCTGTACCTTCTGCCTTAATGTCTTGGAATGTTCTTTTTTGGAACCAGCTGCCATACTGGGAGGGAGCCCTAGAAACCATGTGAACAGATCTCATCAAGGAAAACCAAAGACTTTGGCCAACAATCCCAGCTGAGTTTCCAGCTGGGATGTGAATCAGGCCATTTTGGTTATTCTAGACAACTCAGGACCCTAACCAACACTCTATAAACTAGAACTGCCTGATCAACCTATAGAGACATAGGACATAAGAAATTGCTTCTCTTTTAAGCCACTATGTTTTGAGATAATTTGTAATGCAGCAATGCCTACCTGGACCACTGGGACTCCATTAATCTCTTTTTTTTTTTTGAAAGATTTATTCATTTATGTATTTAAAAGAGAGAGAGAGAATGCACTAGTGGGAGGGGCAGAAGGAGAGGGAGAAAGAATCTCCAGCAGACTCCCTGCTGAGCACAGAGCCTGACATGGGGCTTCATCTGATGAACCTGAGATCATGACCTGAGCTGAAACCAAGAGTCAGACACTTAACTGACTGTGCCACCCAGATGCCCCTCCACTAATCTTGTTTTTGAGGCCTTGTGCCAAGTTTACTAGCTTACCTCACCACCCTCAGACCTCTGCAAGGAAGTAGGTATAACTTACTTTCTGGGTCTTCACAATCTCCTTTTAGCTCTATGGACAAAATAGCTCATGCTTCAGTGGAAATGGCCAAATGATAACCATACTAATACTCATGAACGCTTTTTGAATGCTTATGATGTGCCAGGCAGTTTTAACTATAATATAGTTATTAATATATCTAATCTTTAGAACAACTTTTGAGCTCAGTACTATTATCTCCATTTTACAGATAAGAAAACCAAGGCACAGAGAGATGAAGTAACTTGTACGAAGTCCAACAGCAAGTGGTGGACTCACCATCAGAACCCAAGCCTTAGGTTCCAGAGCCACACACTTAGCCACTACGATGAACTGCCTCCAGTTCATCCGGTTAATCCTAAAGTGACTGAAGTAAGTGAAGTTTCTTTGACTTATGTTACTTGATCCTCTTACTTTGGCTAAGAAAGTCCTTTAAGGCTTTGATTGCTTCATTCATGTATAGTAGATTCTGGACTGCGTCCCAAGCTACCACTTATGTTTAGAAAAGCCTAACGTTCAAAAAGTCTGAATGCTTGACTGTTTGTACATTCGCAGTTGAGGATAGGAGAGAACCACAGGTTCCTCATCCCCACTCCTCCACAGAGGGCAGCAGAGTGACAGGCAGGCAGCGACCTAGGGGAGGGAGCAGAAGAGGAGTGCCGGTCTGGGGCAGAGCTCTTTACTCATCCTCCAGACCACAAGCACCAGGCGGGAACTCGGCACAAAGCCTCTCGGCACCTATCAGACTGAAGGGAAGGAAGGACTGCAGCTTCTACTAACAGGGGCCGGAGGCAGCCAAAGCCGTGCCTGTTAGACTTAGAGTGGAGGAAAGCCTCTGTGCTTGTTCAGCAGTTGCAGCCTTAAGACCGGCTCTCAGTGCCCCTGTCCAGCTGCACTGCTGCCTTCTGGTCTCTTCTAGGTAGCTGCTAGAGCTGTCACTGCAAGGGCATGGGGTTTTGCGTCAAGTAGTCTTAAAGTCCGTCTGCTTCCTATCCTGCCTGATAACTGCCTCAAGAACTCTAAGGGAAATAAAAAAGCTAATTATGAAATTCAATAGGTCTGCGTTCTCATGCTATATTCAGAGCATGGCCTCTGGAGACAGACAGTTTTGGGGTCAGGGCCCCATTTTTGCTGCTTAATCGCTGTGTGATTTTGGGAAAGTCGCTTTCTCCTTTCCGCCTCAATGTCCCTTAGCTGTAGAACAGGTCAGTGATATTTACCTTGAGTGGCTGTTGTCAGGAATAAATAAGTACTATGGGCAGAGCTCTTGGCCTCCTATAGCTTGACCCAGCAACCATCAGGGTACCTATTATTACATAGACTGTATATATTCGACATCTCTATAACCACAAGATACCATTCAGTCTTAGAGTGTAAGCTGGTGTTTCAGGCTCTCCTACATAATGGCTGCTCAGGGAAGAGGCAACTGCCACGATCTGTTTTAGAAAAGTACTACCTTTTAGGCCCTTCCCTTCTACTTTCATCCCCTAAATGCTCTGGAGGTATGTGGTATAAAACTGACTTCTCTAGTTTTAAAAGATATCTAAGTCTTGATCGCATGTTCTTAATCTGAGGTTTACTGGTCTCCAGGAGTCCATGACCCCTTGATAATGGTGTGCTACATTTTGTGTGTGTACATGCATGTGCATTTTTGGGGGGAAGAAATGATTCATAATCATCAACAGACTGTCAAAAGGGTCCATGTTTAGGGGCACCTGGGTGGCTCAGTCGTTAAGCACCTGCCTTCGGCTCAGGTCATGATCCCAGGGTCCTGGGATCGAGCTCCGCATCGGGCTCCCTGCTCAGCGGGAAGCCTGCTTCTCCTTCTCCCACTCCCCCTGCTTGTGTTCCCTCTCTCACTGTGTCTTTCTCTGTCAAATAAATAAATAAAATCTTTAAAAAAAAAAAAAAGGGTCCATGTTTGGACAAAAGACTAAAAAAACTCTAATATAGAAACAGCCTTTTAAATCTTCTATTGAAAGTAACTTGGAGGCCTTCCCTGACTTAAGACAAAGCAGGAACAATTGTGGAAAACACTGGAAATGGATCCTGTCTTCCAACCAAGGCCCAGTCTCTTTCTCCCAGTGTGTCTCTAACAGAGTGGGATGCTGGCTGTTCCCACTGGCACAGGTAGATGCCATAAAGACAGGACTCTGTGGATGAAGAGGCGTTGCCTTCTCTAATTACATCTCACAAAGACCAAAGCCTAACCTCAGCTGTACCTTCTGTCTCTGGGAAGTCACTTATGGAGGAGACCTATAATTGGGATTTGCTACCTGAGATATAATTCTCAGGATGATGAATATCTGAATTATGTCCCCAGACACATACCTGAGGCAGAGCCCTAAGGGCTGATGGCCATGGGCGCGTGTGGTATTCTTCATTCAGTGGGGATTAATAAATGAGGATGATATCACTTAGAATCTCTGAAGGGGCAGCTGTCCAGGAGGCCCTTTTGGCTTCTGCAATGAAGCCTAACAGCCTGTGTACTGGGCTCAATAATTTATGCCTCCCGCACAGAATTTGCACAAAGCAGGAGTGGCCACATCAGCATTTTGGGATTTAAGGCCAACCTCTCTTTTCCACAGATCCACTCCCCCAAATTGTAAGGATGATTCGGCTAATTAATCCCACTTCATTTTTAAAGAAAATGATTGTTGGTGTATCAAGCAAATGAAAATATAGCTCTTGGGGGAGGGGATTTAAAGTAATTTAAAAGTTCAGTGGATGATGACTAATTTTGCAGTTGTTATGCTTACATCTCTTCAATGAACAGATAATTTGTGAATTATGGAGTATACAATATGAGATGTATGGACTATATTAGGGAAACATTTTTGGTCCATGTAAATAAATTGAGACAAACAGTAGGTGCACCTGTCCCTAGCCTGTCCTAGGAATATACGAAACTCTGGCACAGGATGAACGTCTGTTGGTGTCAGTGTGACAATAACAAAACAAAGCTGGCACTGGGGTCAGGAAGTCTTTGGTGGGCGGGGAGCCACGGTCTGCAGCCAGAGCCCAGCACGGCTGTGCGTTCTGATGTCCATCAACCAGGAAAGGGAATCTAAGGTTTTCAAATGATTTTCCCCCTTCACAAAGCTGCTGTAAAATAAAATACAAATCCTTCCTGAATGTTCCTAGCTTTCCTTCCTTTAGGAAGTTTTCAGTCAATGGGAAACAAAGTCTTATTCAAAGGATTAAAGCCATAGTCATTCTATTGTTTACAGCTTCAATAATGTGGCTTTCCTTCCACGGACAAAATTTCCAATTCACAAATCATCTAAAAAACAGGAAATTTGGGGGAAACACGTGCTAATGATAACAAACAAGGGAGCTAGCGTGCAGTATAGAAGTTTATGCAAGAAGGCATCCGATTTTAATGTTTTTTTGGACTGTCGTGCTTCTGGATGCATTCTAGGAAGATTATTCCTTAAAAGAAAAAGCCATATGGCCTATAACATAAAACTACTCTGTTCCCATCCCTCGTCCCCAGAGAGGGGAGGGGCAGGGAAGAGGGGAGGCAGATTCTGGCTGTATTTTCAAGGCTGTGCTGTGGAGGAGATGGGCTTCTACCCTCTTCTCCCTGCCCTTGTTAGTCCTCTGTTTCTCCTCTCTCTCCAACCAAGGCCATGGCCCTTACCTGGGGGATGGAGGGAGAAGGGCCAGCAGCATTGGTTAGCAGGGCTGGAGAGAATGCAAAAGAGAGGGAGGGGTGGGCAGTTTTGGGCTCCGGCTGTGGGCAGTAGCCACAGGGAGCCATAGGAGGTTAAAGAGGTTGTGGAAACAGTCACTACTTTTGCAAGCAGGGGGAAAGCAGGGCTGGTGGGGCCAAGGAAGAGGCAGCAGCACTAAACCATGAGCAGACAAACTCACTCTGGAAATCTATTCTAGCTGCTTCTAAATAAACTACCAAGAGAATTTTTTTTATTCACATTCTTTATTTTGGTGACAATGTCTTAGTCTTTTTACCTGTATCCTAGAAGGAACACCATAGTTCCTCCTGAATAATAATTCTTAGTGTCTGAAATTCCCCAACATCTGATTTTTCCCCAGTCCCCATCTTTCACCATTCCCTTTAACTTTTATCCACACTTCAGGGAAAATACCACTTTTCCCTGATTGGGGGATGACAGAACCTAGTTACTTCCTAACGTTTTCTTCTGTGCCCTTGCTATTCAAGGTGTGGTCTGGTTCCCAGCAGCAGCACCTAGCTTAGCAGAAATTCAGACTGTCTGGCGCCTGGGTGGCTCAGTTGGTTAGGCGACTGCCTTCGGCTCAGGTCATGATCCTGGAGTCCAAGGATCGAGTCCCATGTCGGGCTCCCTGCTCAGCGGGGAGTCTGCTTCTCCCTCTGACCCTCCTCCCCTCTCATGCTCTCTCTCTCTATCTCATTCTCTCTCTCAAATAAATAAATAAATAATCTTAAAAAAAAAAGAAAGAAATTCAGATTGTCAATCCCTGCCCTGTGCCTACTGAGTCAGAGTCTGCATTTAAGGGAATCCTTGGTGATTTGCATGCACATTAAAATTTGGGAAGGGCTGGTCTGTTCCCTACTATAGACCTGACTCATAATCTATACCACCAAAGCTTGCAGGATCCTACATTCTCTGGCCCTGCCCACTTCTCCAGTCTTATCCCATAACATCCTACTGCTCATTCACTAAGTCCAGCCTCTGAGCTTTTGCATTCCCCATTCCTTCTGCCTAGGGTGCTCTCATCCCCTCTTAGTATGGCAAACTCCTTTATGTCATTAAGGTGTCAGCTTAGATGTTACTTCCTTAGAGGAGACTTCCCTGACCACTCTATATGAAGAACCACCCCCGGCCCCGCCATGATCTATCTCATTACTCTGTTTCATATTTTTTATGGCACTTGTTATCTGATATCATTTTATTAATTCATTTTTGGGTCTGTTTTGTTGAGGGTTGTATTTTCAGTGCCAAAAGCAATGCCTGGTACATTGAAGGTGCTCAGAAAATATTTTTTGGATTAATGAATAAAGTTTTGGGGATCATGAACAGTGAAAACCTATGCCCAGAGAATTATATGGTAAGATCAGGAACCCTCAGAACCAACTCAGCAGCTTTCAGTGAATTGGCCTGAGACCCATGCTTTTTGAGTCCCACATAAGTGGTTCATAAAGCCTGGTCTGTAGATCAGAAGCATCAGCATCCACTGGGAACTTGGTAGAAAGGCAAATTCTTGGGCACTACCCTAGACATACTGACGAACTCTGATTCAGAAATTTAACAATTACCTTAAATTTTTAAGTCTAGCAACCTGTGTCTTAACAAGGCCTTTAGGTGGTTGATGCCTTGCCCCAGACAGTATCGACATCTTACCTGTGTAGAGAACCCATAGTGTTCAAA